CAGCTAGCTCCCCCTAGCTAAGTAGGAGGGTACTACACTAGGTTCAGGTGTCTCCAGTGAAGGGTTTGTTATTACTACAGCATACAAAGATATTTTACACAATTGTACACTTCCAACCATGTGGTAACAGTTTGCAGAAACTCCTTTTCTGTTCCATCATGACTGTGCCCAGTGCACAAAGCTAGCTCCATAAAGAAATGGTTTGATCCATATGCTGTGGAAGAATTGAAATTACCTGCACAGAGCCCTGAACTAAGTACTAATTGGGTTGAATTACAATGCTAGTTGGAAGACAGGTCTTCTCATTTTTCACCATAACCACATCTTACAAATATTCTTTTGGCTGAATGGGCACAAATTGTTCCCTCAGACACCCTCCAAATTTTTGTGGAAACCCTTCCCAGAATAGTATAGGTTTCATTTGCAGTGAAGGTTGGTTGGTGACTCCATGTTAATTCTCATGGTATTGCAATGGAATGTCCAGCAATCTGCTATAGGTATGATCAGGTGTCCACAAAATTAGTCCAAATTATCCCATGGCAGGTGCTTACAGTGAGGAACAGAAGTATTTGAACACCCTGCGATTTTGGAAGTTCTCCCACTTAGAAATCATGGAGGGGTCTGAAATTCACATTGTAGGTGCATTCCCACTCTGAGAGACAGAATTTAAAAAATAAATTCAGGAAATCACATTGTATGATTTTTTTAAGAATTTATTTGTCTTGCACTGCTGAACATAAGTATTTGAACACCTGAGAAAATCAGTGTTAATATTTGGTACAGAAGCCTTTGTTTGCAATTACAGAGGTCAAACATTTCTTGTAGTTCTTGACCAGGTTTGCACACACTGCAACAGGGATTTTGGCCCACTCCTCCACACAGATCTCCTCTAGATCTGTCAGGTTCGGGGCTGTCGCTGAGAAACACGGAGTTTCAGCTCCCTCCAAAGATGTTCTATTGGATTTAGGTCTGGAGACTGGCTAGGACACTCCAGAACCTTGATATGCTTCTTACGGAGCCACTCCTTGGTTATCCTGGCTGTGTGCTTCGGGTCGTTGACATGTTGGAAGACCCAGCCACGACCCATCTTCAATGCTCTGCCTGAGGGAAGGAGGTTGTTGCTCAAAATCTCACAATAAATGGCCCCATTCATCCTCTCCTTAATACAGTGCAGTCGTCTTGTCCCCTTCGCAGAAAAGCACCCCCAAAGCATGATGTTACCACCCTCATGCTTCACAGTAGGGATGGTGTTCTTGGGATGTAACTCATCCTTCTTTTTCCTCCAAACACAATGAGTGAAGTTTAGACCAAAAAGTTCTACTTTGGTCTCATCTGACCACATGACTTTCTCCCATGCTTCCTCTGGATCATCCAGATGGTCATTGGCAAACTTCAGACGGGCCTGGACATGTGATGACTTGAGCAGGGGAACCTTCCGTGCAATGCATGATTTGAAATCATGACGGTGTAGTGTTCTACCGACAGTGATCTTTGAAACTGTGGTCCCAGCTTTCTTCATGTCATTGACCAGCTCCTCCCTTGTAGTTCTGGGCTGATTCCTCACCTTTCTTATCAGTGATACCCCACGAGGTGAGATCTTGCATGGAGCCCCAGTCCGAGGGAGCCTGACAGTCCTCTTTAGCCTCTTCCATTTTCTAACAATTGCTCCAACAGTTGATCTATTTTCACCAAGCTGCTTGGCAATTTCCTCATAGCCCTTTCCAGCCTTGTGGAGGTCCATAATTTTGTCTCTGGTGTCTTTTGACAGCTCTTTAGTCTTGCCCATGGTAGTAGTTGGCGTCTGACTGTGGGGTGGACAGGTGTCTTTAAAGAGCTCAGACAGGTGCTACTAAGTTAGATTCATGAGTGGAGTAGAGGTGGACTTTTTAAAGGCACAGTAACAGGTCTTTAAGAGCCAGAATTCTTGCTGCTTCTCAGGTGTTCAAATACTTCTGTTCAGCAGTGCAAGACAAAGAAATTCTTTAAAAATCATACAATGTGATTTCCTGAATTTTTTTTTTCTTTAAATTCCATCTCTCAGAGTGGGAATGCACCTACAATGTGAATTTCAGACCCCTCCATGATTTCTAAGTGAGAGAACTTGCAAAATCGCAGGGTGTTCAAATACTTTTGTTCCTCACTGTATGTCAATGCAGTAAGGAGTGTCATGTTTTAAAGGTAATGGTTTTGGGGATGTGGGCTGGGCTGGTCCCTAAGCTCTTCAGACATGTTACAAGCACAAAAGAGACACGAGATTGCACTTTCTCCTGGGTTGGTTAGTATTTTAGCTATTCTGTTACTTTTTATTCATGTATCCCAACATTTTATTTAAAATGCAAGTATAGTTCTACTTATATTTTTTTGTGATTAAACTGTATGTTTGCTATAGCTAGTTGTTGGAGACAGTCATCACTTCCGTTAGACTCGGTAAAACAGAAACTTAACTGGATTATGATTAGAGATGAGCGAATTATTTAAAAACTCGATTCGGCTGATTCGCGGAATTTGCGGGAGAAATTCGATTCGATGCGAATTTATTCGCTGCGAATTTAACTTATTAAAAGGGTTTCTAGGCTTCAGAGAGCCTTTATATTAGTGCAGAACACTGTACCTTTAATTTAAATGCCCTTGGAGTCTGCTGGGGAAGAGAAATAATACTGTCAGTCAGTATGACATGCAGATGAGTGCCGTCGATCTTAGAATCACCGCACACTTCACTCATTTGGGCAGTCACGGGGCACGAAGAAGAAGAAGAAGAAGAAGAAGAAGAATGAAAAGAAGAAGAAGAATGAAAAAAGAATGAAAAGAAGAATGAAAAGAAGAAGAAGAAGAATGAGAAGAAGAAGAAGAAGAATGAAAAGAGAATTCCAGTACAGCAAAAAGTGTATCTGCAGAGAGCTCCGCTATTTCTGACAGTTCTCTGACAGTTCCTTCACATTTACAGCGGTTGAAACATTGTATCTATTTGTTTCCGAATAAAAACATCTGTATCCTAAATGGAAACAAATAGATACAATGTTTCAACCGCTGTAAATGTGAAGGAACTGTCAGAGAACTGTCAGAAATAGCGGAGCTCTCTGCAGGGACACTTTTTGCCGGCTGTAGAAGGGATGAAAATCGGCCGATCGGGAAAAATTTCGATTCGCGCATCCGAAGTTTGCTAATATTCGGATTCGGTGCGAATCGAATTTTTCCTAAAATTCGAAACGAATTCCACTTCGCCAGGTTCGATTTGCTCATCTCTAATTATGATAAACGATAAACTCACGTGTGTCGTTAATAATAATACTTCTTCATTTGAGGTTACATGGGAACCATGGATTAAATATATTTCTATTACTTGATAGACTTATGGCTGGCCCTCTTCTCTTCTTCTTTCTTTTCTTTCCTTTTTTTTTTTTTTTTTTCTCCCGTTGTATTCTGTACTCTCTTGTTTGACTCCTTTGTTCAATTTTTTCGGTCTCCTTATTTTGTCAGATGGCTATCTGAAACTGCCTAGGTTTAATGACCGATGGAATATGTGCTCCCCTACTTGGGCTGTGGTCGCTTGTTTACAATATCATTGATTGATGTATTATGTGTCTATATATTCTATGATTCTGTTTTTTCACCACAACTTACCATATAGGTGGACTATGTTTCCTATTTCTCTGTATCTACTTTTTACAGTTTTTCAATAAAAATATTGAAATATAAACTGTGTTTGCAACAATGTTCTCACTGTTCCCAGAAGACAGTTGGAGAACGGTCGTTAGTGGCTGCCTATAATTAAGTAGTACTGGCATGTTGGCATGCTTTGCTAACTTGCAATATGGAGGCTTCTTAACATCCAGAGAAAGACATATGAATGTTTTGTTACTAAGCTGTCGGAGTAAATGAAACAGAAAAATATAATGGCTGAAAATTGTACGTTTATGAGTCACTTTCTGAGTTAGAATGTGTAAAGTTTATTGCAAAGAAAAAATGTGCTGAGCGTACGTAGTTGGTTAGAGACGAGGAGCAACCATGGAGTACAGACGAGTCAATCAGTGAAATGATAAATCTGATCAGGTAACATTATTAAGATGCCAATTTGCAGCTTGTAGAATTAGTGCAAAGCTTTCTTGTATTAAAGGCCAACTCCTGGCCTAAACAAAAAAACAATCTTTGCAATGGGGCCTTCTCCACTCTGTAAGGGTTAAATGCTCATTATGTCTAGGGGTGCCCGAATAAGGAGAAATACCTGATTTTGTTCTCCAGCGGGGTTCTTTTAGTGATACAACCAATTCCTCCACAGCCTTCCCTCCAAGCCAATCATGGCTCCGATCAGAAGGTTACTCCAATCATATACAGTGCAGTCTACAAACAGTTCTGGGTTGTACATGATGACGCCAAGGGATTACTTAAAGTGGGAATACATGATTAAAAAATTGACCGATCGGTCATCCGATGGTCAAGAGGCGTTCGTTCGTTGGTCGAAATCGTGGCCCACATTAACCAATCTAAAAAAAGTTTGTCAGGCAATACGTAGTGTTGACGTCTTCCATACAAGTGGAAGTGATGCATTGTGTGTGTGTGACCTTTTAGCCATGCCCTTCCGGCCGGAATGAGCATTCCACTCCCTTCCGGCCGGAACAGGCGTTCCGTAAAAATACCGTATTTTTTGCTCCATAAGACGCACCTAGGTTTTAGAGGTGGAAAACAAGAAAAATATTCTGAACCAATGGACTACAGACATAGTACAGGAGATGACCAGAGACTGCGGACACAGTACAGGAGATGACCAGAGACTGCGGACACAGTACAGGAGATGACCAGAGACTGCGGACACAGTACAGGAGATGACCAGAGACTGTGGACACAGTACAGGAGATGACCAGAGACTGCGGACACAGTACAGGAGATGACCAGAGACTGCGGACACAGTACAGGAGATGACCAGAGACTGCGGACACAGTACAGGAGATGACCAGAGACTGCGGACACAGTACAGGAGATGACCAGAGACTGCGGACACAGTACAGGAGATGACCAGAGACTGCGGACACAGTACAGGGGATGACCAGAGACTGCGGACACAGTACAGGGGATGACCAGAGACTGCGGACACAGTACAGGAGATGACCGGAGACTGCGGACACAGTACAGGAGATGACCAGAGACTGCAGACACAGTACAGGAGATGACCGGAGACTGCGGACACAGTACAGGGGATGACCAGAGACTGCGGACAGAGTACAGGGGATGACCAGAGACTGCGGACACAGTACAGGAGATGAACGGAGACTGCAGACACAGTACAGGGGATGACCGGAGACTGCGGACACAGTACAGGAGATGACCGGAGACTGCGGACACGGTACAGGGGATGAACGGAGACTGCAAACACAGTACAGGAGATGACCAGAGACTGCGGACACAGTACAGGAGATGAACGGAGACTGCGGACACAGTACAGGAGATGACCAGAGACTGCGGACACAGTACAGGGGATGACCAGAGACTGCGAACACAGTACAGGGGATGACTAAGACTGCTGACCTTTGCGAAGGGAGGGGGAGCAGGTACCTGAATTTGACAGGTACCTGCTCCCAGTTCCACTGAGTTGTCCTCCCTTTAGTGTGGGCAATCGGCTGACAGCCGGACACATGACAGCGGACCTGTCATGTGTCCCAGAAGATGCCGTACCATTCACAAAGCGCAGCGCTTCTCGCGCATGCGCACTGGGCACCCGGCTGTCACAGCCGAGAGCCCACACTAAAGAAGCCGGCACGGGAAGACTGTGCAGCGCTGGACCGAGGAACAGGTAAGGTTCTGCTGCAGAGAAGAGCTGAGCGGCTGGCCCAGTATTCTGAAACGGTGGTGGAAATACCGGACCGGCTGCTTCATATTCGCTCCATAAGACGCACTGAGATTTTCTTCCCTTTTTTTGGGGGAAAAAAGTGCATCTTATGGAGAGAAAAATACGGTACATAAAAATATAATATTTATAATTCTGGTTTCATTATGTCATTAGGCCAATCTACTTTTAACATTTGGATTTTTCGTTCATTTACGAAGATTCCATCAACATAAACATCCGGGTCATCTTCTGTTTCCTCTCATGCGTGATAGCGCTTGATAGATTTTTTTTCTTTACGGCCGTCATACCACCGCATAGAAAATAGGTCGTTCGTATGCAAAACAACATTTTTCACTGTTGTTCAACCAGATTTTTTCATTCACAATATCGTTATCGGGTAAAACATCCTGTTCATCAACGAAGAGAAAATCGTTCGATCAGTGGTCCCGCAAAATTTTTCGTATGATTTTCTTATGTGTACGGGGCATTAGAGGCTTGAGCTCCTCAAGGAGAAGAGAGCAGTGCTAGAGTTGGGCAGAGAGAGGGACAGGCAAGTAATAATGCCTGGTTCTGTACTTCCTATAAACAACCAGCATTCAACCCTTGCAGGGCAGGCAGGGGCCCACTGCAAGGGTAGATTTTTATTCCCAAAATAACTGAATGAAGGTCCGGCGTTTCACACACATAAATACAGTTGCAAGAAAAAGTATGTGAACTCCTTGGGATTACGTGGAGTTTTGCATGAATTGGGCATAAAATGTGCTCTGAACGTCATCTAAGTCACAACAATAGAAGAACACAGTCTGCTGAACATAATACTACACAAACATTAGATGTTGCCATGGTTTAATTTCTTGCAACTGTATAAGTTAACCCAGTAATTACATTTCACCAAAGAAAACAATATATATGTGAGAAATAAATATTCAAAAGTCCCACTCCAAATTTGGTGCCTAGCAATCGGATCGGAAGTGGGAGCGGGTACCTGTCAAATTTGGGTACCCGCCCCGCCCCCCAAAGGTGCCAATCCCTAATGGGGAGTGGGGGAGCAGTCCTTAAAGCGGAACTTCCCCTTTTGGGTGGAGCTCTGCTGTAAGATGGTAATACCAATAGAATAATCTTGTGGGTCAAGCGCTCTCTTTCCACTTTCCTCAATGGTGTCTTTTATGAAGGTTTTGGTGAAGGAACCAGAAGGCGCCAACAGCCTTCCCTAATATACGCTGAAGCTCAGCAATTCAATGTGCAGATCCAATACTGATGCTTGGTAGGTTGTAAACTGTAAAGCATTTAACATGACTGAGGAATGCATTGCCCTGACTCATATCAGGTTACTTCTCTGAGGATATTAACCAAATGATGATGTCCTATTCCTCATCACCTCCATAGGTAGAGGCTCATTAGGAGTGATTCATGGCTTTTGACAAGTTGAGGGCTTACAGATGAATTATCCAAATGATTAAAGTACTGGGTGATGTGGGAATGAAATGCAGCTATGACAGTTCAATGACTATGATGTAGGTCATTAGTCTCATGTAAAATATGTATTTTTACTTCTGAATCCTGTAAAAGAAAGAGATAAAACCTAATGTGTCCTGACAGCCAGCCACAGTTCTGGTCTGGGTTCGTATAGGTTCTCACTCGTCTTCCCAGCATCCTACAGCAACTTGTAATTCAGCAGAAAACTGCAGAAGGCTGAAGTGTTAGAGCAGATGTGAACTTTATCTAAAAAAAAAAACTTTTTTTTTTTTAATGCAGACTTGTACAATAACTGAAATATCAACATTAAGCTATTCCAAAGTAGAGCAGATGTGAACCCTTACCTTGTATAACACTTTCAGTTTAAAATAGAAATGAAAGGCACAACATTTATGAAAAAAAAACCCCATATATATATATATATATATATATATATATATATATATATATATATATATATATATATATATATACGCCTTTCCAAAACCGAGCTCCTAGTTTTCCCCCCAGCCCGCGCCCCCCCCCCTTACTCTCCATCATGACCAACAAACCACCATCAATCCCACCCCGCAAGCCAAAGTCCTAGGTGTCACCCTGGACTCAAACCTTCCAACCTCATGTCCAATCGCTGGCAACTTCATGCAGGCTCCACCTCCGCAACATCTCCAAAATACGTCCGTTCCTAACCCCAGACACTACTAAACAACTCGTTCACTCCCTTATCTCACATCTGGACTACTGCAACTCCCTTCTCACCGGCCTACCCCAACACAGGCTATCCCCGCTTCAGTCCATCCTGAATTCAGCGGCCAGACTCATCTACCTTACCAACCGCTCCGCTTCTGCCACCCCCCTCTGTCATTCCCTCCACTGGCTTCAGATTGCCCAACACATTAAATTCAAACTACTAACACAGACATACAAAGCCATTCATAACGCTTCCCCAAACTACCTCACCGACCTGATACCCAAATACTACCCAACCTGTAACCCAAATACTACCCAACCCGTACTCTTCGCTCCTCACAAGACCTCCTACTTTCTAGCTCCCTGGTCTCCTCCTCCCACGCCCGACTTCAGGACTTCCCCCATCCTCTGGAACTCACTACCCCAATCCATCAGACTCTCACCTACCCTCCTCACCTTCAGGCACACCCTGAAAACCCATCTCTTAAGGGAAGCCTATACCACCCTCACCTAACAGCCAATCTCCTCTACTCCTCCTAACACTCCATCCTCCACAGCCACTTCCTCCTGTACCACTACCCCCTCCCTCCTAGATTGTAAGCTCGAAAGAGCAGGGCCAGTGAACCCCTTGTCTATTGTTGTTACTGTATTGTCCCATGTACTGTCCCCCACTACAATGTACAGTGCTGAGGAAACCTTTTGGCGCTATATAAATACTGTATAATAATAATAAAATATATATATTATGTGTATATATAATGTCATTATAAATACTTCCCCCCCCCCTTTTTTTTAAAGGGATCACATGACCTCTGTTTTCAGCTGTATATAGAGATTGGAAAGGTGGGGGTGGAGAAACAGCAAAACAGGAGCACACTGGTCTTCTAGTGAATGAGGGCAAGTCAGTAGAAGTCTTGACCATTGGAGAACAAAGTAGGCAAGAAAGCTGACCACGCTGCGATGGACGTGCTCTCATGCCTAGCGTAGTCACTTTGAAATTGGAAAGCAGAGGGACTGGCAGCAGGGTCAGTGCTAGACTATTTTGTGCCCTAGGAAAGACAAGCTATTTGCAGCCCCCCCTAAACCCCCCCCCAAAACACTTCACCCCTCCTAGCACATATCATCTTCCCCTCAAATTTTCTACCCTAGCACAAATCCTCACCCCCAAATTCCCCTTATAAATCCCCCAATCCCATCTCCTAGCAAAACCCCCTTCAAATTACCCTTCCCAAAACAAATCCTTCCTCCCCACCCAAATCCCCCTCTCCCAGCATAAATTCCCCCCCTCCTAGCAGAACCCATCCCAATCCCCCCTCCTAGCACTATCCCCCCCCCCCCCTAGATCTGGCCATGGTGGAGAGTAGGGAAACCAGTAGCCCTGTCTGCGCCCTAGGCAGTTTGCCTATGTTGCCTAGTGGTAGTGCCGACCCAGACTGGCAGGATCCCACAACAGAAGAAATACAAAGAACAGAATACTTTGACACATGTACATGGTACAGCAGGCATATATCAGGAATATGAAACGTGGGGCAACATGTTTAAAAATATTTTAAGTATTGGACAGTGAACCCAAAGACTCCAGTCTGCAAGTGAGTCTGTTATGAAAAATATGAGGATTAAACAATTAAAAGTAAACCTAATTTGAATATAATCATTGGCCGGCAGGTAATCTTTCATATATTTACACTTGGTAAATGGGAATCCATTTGCTCGCAGCTGCTTAAACGTCATCCGGTCTCCTGAGAGCTGAAGATTTAAGTGAATGTTGCTTTTGGAGACTTGCTCTGAACCACATTACACTGGCAGCACATTGAATCTCCTGAGTGTGTGTTTACCAGCTTGTCCGGGCTCAAGAAACAAATCTGTGTGCATGTGGATTAATTTGTGGGATGGCCCTAGGAGTGTGGAGTTGTTATAAGTACTACTACAAATTCCAGAACTTATAGGACTGTAGCTGTCCATATCTGAACTGACTTGAGGTGTCATGTCTTTTATAGAGCAGATCATCTCAACCAAGGTTCCTCCAGCTTGGGGTTCCTTGAGCAATGAGCAATTTCTACCTCTCAGATGAGTTCCCACTGATATCCATGATTGATTTGGAGATCTGTAAGGCTCCATTCACACTTGGGCATTTTGAATTGCTGGCAGAATCGCCGCAATTCTGCCCGTGATTTGAAAACATTCTGCTAAAATACCAAATCGCACAATAGTGTATTCAGGTGGCATTTATTTTAATGGCACTTAAAAACGCAGTGCGTTTCTGCCACGATTGTCATGCTGCAATCACTGCAAACCGCATCACGGGAAACGTGTCACCCCAAAGAAGCTCCTGAAATTCTTTTGGGCGACACTCTTCGTGAAATGTGGTTTGCAGCGATTGCAGCGTGATCTATTGCAGTAGAATGCATTTTTAGGTGTCATTAAAATGAATGGCACCTGAATGCACTTTTGTGTGATTTGTTAATTTAGCAGATTATTTTGAAATCAGACAGATTTGCCCGCAATTCAAAATGGGCATTTAAATGGAGCCTAAGGGGAGCAGTCTGCCCATCAACCACCAATGTAAGGAGCATTCTTCCCAGTGGCCTCCAATGTAAGGGACATTCTTCCCACTGGCCTCTAATGTAAGGGACATTCTTCCCACTGATCACCAATGTAAGGGACATTCTTCCCAGTGGCCTCCAATGTAAGGGACATTCTT